TTCACTTAGGTTAGAAGGAGTCATGGTTAAGCGCTGGTTTATTTATGTAAAAAAAAGCATCAGGTAATGGAATGTACATCGATAGTTAATCCATCATTTATTTAAGTAAAGGAAAAAATACTCCAAACGCAGAAGTCTGCACTCCACTTAATTCGTTTCCAGAAATTCGTAATGAAAAATTACTTTCAACTTTCCACTCGTTTACTGGAGCCGTAAGCATTAATGTAAGTAGGCTGGAACTGAGATATTTAAATGAGATTAACATAGCTCAGCTTAATCTGTTTAATGAATTGTAGTCTGTTTTAATTTTATCTCGGTCGCTGTAGTATTTTTCTGTTCAGCATCATTCAAAGCTTTGACCCAGATATCAGCCGAGGCCGCTCTTGCCTCGCTCATAGTAATATTGACATTGGGGCTTTTTGACATATTTTTTATAGACAACTTCTGCGATTGCAATAAATGTTATAGATCTGCGGATTATTATTTGCACTGTATTTTCGGATAGATCAATTTCATTAGAAGAACATAACTTACCAAAGAAGAGTAGAATGTAGATTATAAAAACGACACAAATAAAATAATTGACCTAAGGTAGATGCCAAAGAGACCAGCCTTCATCACTATTTTTGAAATCAGCTAAGGAGATTGTGAGATTATGTAGTGAAATTGAAGGCTGCAGTTTTTCCAACTGCCGATGTCTCGTTGAATTGGTGAAATTAGTATAAAAGGAAACACTGCAGGCGGCGCGTGCCGCCCGCCAGTTCTATCAGTTTAAACATCCACGATGTGAATCTAGATACTTTTTCATCGAGTCCACGATCGAACTGAATTTTGTTGATTTGAATTTTTCATTTTTTATTGGCAGCGCTTAGAATAGAATTGAAACTGTTAATTGCATTTTTAAGTCCTCGATGAACACGTTCACGGAGTTTAAATTTTTGATTGGGTTCTTGTACAGAAAAAAACTAGTTCGACTTAATTTGTTCCGTATCTTCATTTTCTGCATTCGTTCATCTAAAAATTGAGGCAGTCAATCAAAATTATAAACCTACATTAGTGTAAATTCCAACATAGACTTTTTCTCATTCCACATTAATTATTATCTAGAAGGAACACACACTTTTTTCCTGGGTGTCCTTTTTACCTTACACTTGCTTATAATGTTATAAAATAATTCTTGTAATCAAGGTGAAAATTACCTACATCAAAGGTAGGGTATAATACATTCATTTCTATTACACGGGTGCGTAATTTCATAACCCTGCCCTTAAATGTGAAAGGTAATAAATAATTTTCACGTATGACCCAACAATTTCCCCCAGTGACCGCAGCGACCGCAATCTGACCGCGTTTGATCCGTGCGGTGACCGCAGCCACGGCGGCTCACCGCGACGTACCGCATTCTGTGCAAGGGTTGATTTATCGGTGTCATATCCTAATAACATACCCAAAAACCTACCTGTAATTACACTTTGTTCACGATGACAAAAGCCAGGTAACTATTAAATTTACAACAAAATTAAGATCTCTCTGATTCATAAATCATGAAAGAACATTCACACCTTGTAATATTTTATACTTAAATTTTGTTTGTAAAAAAAGTGTCTTTTCTTCTTTTGTAATAATTCTGCATCATGATCGCCTATTCAAAACGTACAAACAGCTTCACTCTAACAGAATTAAATTGGGATCTCGCAGTTTTGTTCCCAACACATTGTACTGCCTTACGTCATAATACTCAAAACTATTTTTTTCAAGTAGGCGTTCTTTTATATTCAAATGACATGCCAGCTTCTGAACTGATTGACCATTAATCAAATTTTATGCGTCCACCACACGAAAACGGAAATTGGAAATTAGTGAGGTGTTATGGACGGCACAATAAATGTAATTACACTGTCGAAATATTTCTCACCAATTTTCATATTTTTTGTCATTAATGGTGTTAATAAATTTATTTATTTTAAATTGAATTCGTAAAAGATTTTGATTTAATCGTAATTCAAACTAAGAAAGTGACAAAGTTCAGTAATTTAGAGTCTATAGTAAATATCTTCTTAGCTTGGTAAAATAATATAAATACTTATCAATAAATTCCATCAAGTAGTTTCCCTTACAAATACTTGAGTCAAAAATAGACATATCCGCCTAAACAAATTAGCCCGATAAGAACAAAACGTTACGGTGAACCAAATATCTTGGGTAATGAATTGTTTACGCTCAGGTCTGCGTATTGACTAATTTTCGGCCTACGTAAACACGGGAACAATAACAAATAGGGAGCTCTAAGGAATAGCGTGGGTCGGCATAAATCGTCTGGAACTCTCAGAACATATTTCTAAGTATGTTTGTGTTGACAAAATGTTGACTACTTAAGTTGCCCGTCTTTAGAATTTTACAACTCAATAAATTATGTAATAAGAAATAAAAATAGATGGCATTAGCTGTTTCTCGTGACTTCGTCCGCTTGAAATTAAAGAAATAAATAAAAACAAATCCTATATTACTTTTGTTAACGCAGCTTTTTAATGGTGAAAAAATTTGTAATCTTCCTAGTGGTTTTTAAGTTATTTCTATACATATAAAAGTACAAATCTTTGCTTTCTTATAATATTAGTATTGATTAGTACTTCATGTTTTTTTTTTAAATTTAAAACGACTACCAATCTTGGGTTTATATCACGACATACCGTACGATTTCAATTATGCTTCAAATATCCCAATTTTTCATAAAATGGCCTGATATTCAAACACCTACTATAAAGTTTGAAACGCTTAAGTGTCATCTTTCTCTTTTTTACTCCGCTTAGTAATATACTATTTCTCTTTCGTGTAGCGAAATATAAATGTGATACGTCATTATTTGATCTTTTTTTTCATTGAGTGAAAATGGAAATCCAGAAAAGCCGTTCGATTGAATAATGGTTGGACGTAAAGCGACATCTATGGGTGCATTTTGGAATCCACTCTTCCCCTAAATTTACGAGTCCGTAGGTGTCAGGTCATTACTGAATGTCTATCAAATGGAACGCGCGCCAGCGGCTGGTGCGGATTGACAGTTTAAATTTTATTTATATTACTGCAACTGGAATTCGATAAAACAGCCAGCATCAATTTATTCGGTAATTAAAAAACAACATCGAAATTAAAACAATTACCGCTTTTGTTTGTTTTCGACTTGATTTGTGGATATGTTTTTCGTTAATTAATAAATCTTAAACATTTATTTGTGGTTTGACAAACTTTTTAAATAATGTTTTTGGATAAAACTGTTGATTTTAAATAATTTTCGGAAAAATAATATCTCTCTCTCTTCGGATCGTTTCGTCATTCCTGAGGGTCGCGACTACTTTCCTTGACACTCTTTAGGAGGGTGTTTCTCCACTCTGTGCGATTCTCTGTAACGTGTATGGCGGTCTGTATAGTTGTGTCGAGAGTGGTGCATATTGGGTCTGTCCAATGCATAGGGCGACGTCCTTTGCAAAAATAATCTCTCTCATCGAAATTATTTTTTGACAACCCTATAAACGTGATCTGTATTAAATCAGTTTTGTTTATATTCATAGAATACTTCCACATATTACGATCATCCCTTTTATATGATCTTTATTTTCTTTAAAGTCCATAGAGCATAAAATGCGTAAGACGCGACGTGGTTTATTTATGACACGGCGACGGCACTAAAAAGGGGGAAAACAATAAAAG